CACGCCGCTCTGCTCCGAGCCAGCGAGGTCTTGTTTGGAAAGTTTGGAGTGACCCTGAGTGATGCCCATACCCCCGACAGAGACTCGGGCTGCGTGGGGCCTGTTTTCTTTTTTTTTTTTAACAGACAAGTCTTGTTTATTCTGGAAGTAAATACCTTACGAATTTTTATTTACTTAAAAATACGTACTATTTTTTTTTTTAAAGTATGGAAACTACTTACTACTTTAAGCGTTTCCTTCTACCCTTTACTTGAAATGAAGCATAATCTAGCTGATCGTGGTTTCCGGCCACCACGGAGGTGTCAGGCTGGCACAAGACGACCGCGCGCACTTTGCTTCTCTTCAAAGGTTAAGTGGAATTCCTGGGAGTCATTCGGGTCCCAGGTGCTTCACTGTCAGACTGGGAGCCGGACCTACAGCAAAGAGCTCAGCTCCCAGCAAGAAAGGCAGGACCGGAGGGCTGGGCAGACTGGGCTCTGCTGGGCTCTGCTGGGCGCTGGGCGTGTCTATGAGCCGGGAAGGAGGGCAGGCGGGGACAGCGAGGGCTGAAGAAAAGCTCACATTCATTGAGTCCTCAGTGAGCATGCGCCCCGTGGCCCAACGCCGAGGTCCCAACTGCAACACGCAGCAAAGGTGTAGGAGATGGTTTTGGGGTCCACAAGCCGTACCGGCCTCCCCAGCTCATACTGCCTGGCATCCACGCTTGAAGGTCTAGTTTCAGAGCACTGATCATCCTTGCTGGAGAGAAACCCCCTTATCTGCTTCTGCTCCTTCCAGCATGTTCTAGAGCTCCCAGCTCAAGCACCCAAGGCCTGTTCTCTAGCATCTCCCAGCCCACAGCTTTTAGCCCTTGCTCCACCCTCAGCTCTCCCTCCCCTCAGCCTCGATCCCGGCCTTGCCCTTGCTCCAAGGCCGCCCCATCTCCCATTCCTCGGGGCTCCCTCCGAATCCCGCTCGCCTCTCCTCCATCACTCGCCCCTGCTCCTGTCAGTCTCTGACCTGCCATCTACGTTTCCATCACTTGCCACTCCTGTTCCTAGCCCAGTATTTTTTTCTCCCAGAGAGAGCCCCCTTCCTCCTGCCATGTTCTCCAGATGGGGCTGGCGACCCGTCCTCCATCCCCAGTCCCTTCCCGCCTGCTCCTGTCTCCAACGTCTGGAGATCCAACCTTAGATGCTGCTCTTTCCGTCCTCCAGTTCTTGGAGCCACAGGCCTTCTTGTCACGGACATGTATCTTTTAAATTTATTTTTTCACATTTACTGTTTCTTTAAAAAAAAATCTATGTTGAAAAAGTACCTGATTTTTTATAAACGAGGTGGTAGGTGGAGTTCGCGATGATGATGGGTATTTAGAGAGCACTGAGTTTTGCGCATTTGACCTTTCCACAGCCCTGCCGCGGGGTTCCGGTTTGGACTGTTATTATTCCCCCGGCTGGGCAAAGCGGGCCCTGTCTGGATTTTGTCATGAATTCCACAGTGTCATGTGACAGAATTTAAAGAGCTGGCTTTATTGGGGGAGGGGCAAACTTGCAAGACTGGGCTTGTTTCCTGAATCCGGTCATCCCGGGTCAGGATGGAGTGAGCCCGTGGGAGCCGGCTTGTTGTCTAGGCAACCCGGAAAGACATCCGGGGTCACTTTTGGCACCTGCGCTCATGAAACCACAACCCTCGGTTTATAGATGCAAAAGATGCTGGAGAAATGACATGATTCATCCAAGTCCCACACTCATCCCATCCCAGGGCCTAAATTCCAAACGAGTTGGGCTATTTACACTGCGAGGAAGGAGGTTTTATGAAGCAACGAGGGGAGACCGTTGCTCCTGTGGCTGGGCCTCACTTTGCACCTCTGAGGAGGAAGGTGGTGGTCCGCGAGGGGCTGGTTTTCACCTTCATTGTGCTGGCTCCCCCCGACCCGCATCCTCCCACGCTCCGTTTTGGGGAGTCGGAAGCTGTAAGGACCCCTGCAAACCACCTGCTTTGCAGGAGCCTGGCTGTGCCTAAACCCCACGCCAGAGAATTAGTAGCCAAATTAAAGGTCACCTCGACATTTCACAAGTTAAAATGCTTTATAATCGCTGGTAATGGCTCACGGTACAGACAGCTATAGGAATTCTGAGAACTCGTACCTCAACATCAAGATGAAAAAAGGAGCTGTTTCTTTAATTCTTATTATATAATTTTTAAGAAACGCTTTAATATTCTATTCAACTCTTTCCTTTCTCCTCTTTCTCGCTGGTTCTAAAAAATAAGTGAACCATAAATATGCAGGATGTAGAAAGCTGACTTTTCTTATATCTAATAAAAGCCTTGGGGAGTAATTGAAATAAGTTGGCGTGGGGAGTCAGGTTACGTGCTGCATAATATCCAAAGAAGATCTATAGTGAGGAGAAGCAGCAGTGAACAGGAATGGAGAATCAAACCAGAACATTAAATAATGAGTAACTAGGAGAAACT